TGTAAAAATTGAAAGTAATAACGATCTAAATGCTGCTGCACTATTGTCTCTTTTGGAACATATTTCTTGTTTTCATTTATTAAATTAAATATTTGCAAATCAACTGTTGGCATAGAAAAAAACCAAGGTGGATATACTGGCAGAGCCACCGTGGGGCTAATATCGATATTACTGATATTTATTTGTTGAGCCAGCTTGCCTACTGTCCAGCCAAAACTATTCATATATGTCTGCTCATATTCCCAGCAGCTCTCCAATATTTTTTTTACTGGATGATTGGTAAAATGACCTTTAATACCAGTCCAATATACCATTTTAAGCTGAATTTCACGAATGTCTAGTGGTGTTTCACCCATTTCTACCTGCAAAGCTGTCACAGGACCATGCAAGTAACTTTACAGTGTGGAGTGTTAAATATCAAACATTTTAACTTACAGGGCGTTATTCGCTGTGTTTTTTTACACTAATACACTAAGTAAATATCACACTAATAATTAACAGTGCACCTAAACAGTATTTATTACTCTACAAGTAATTGTTTGTTACTTATCCTCCTTTTTAGCCACTCATCCTTGCTTTAAATTGTGAGGGGAAAAAACTTAGTATTTAGTGTAGTATTTTATTAATTTACTTTAAAGTAGTGGACGTTTATTGTCATGTTAAAGTTTGTATGAAAAATGGACTTTGCGTTTAATTTTGCTTAAAAGGATTTGACACCTTATATTTAAAACTGTCTTTATAAAATCCTCTGTTGACTACAATCTCCTCGTTACCTGCAAATACAATTCGCGCTTATAGAAATCGACTCGTTTTGCTTACATGACTTTTAACTTGCCTTGAGGCCTTTAATTTGAAGCCGTGTTGTTATGTTAAGACAATCTCTGCCTAATACATTTACAGTTCGTGTTGTGTAAGTTACTCCGACGCATACATAAGTCACCATGTCTACGGATAGTGTGTTGTTATCGTCTGTCAGTGGACAGCAGGTACGAGAAGGATGGATGCAGCTCAAATCAAGCTATTGGTGAGTTTCTACATTCATAAGCGTCGTTACAGTTCACAGTTGCATCCAGTTCAGCAGATTTGAATTGATTAATGAGTGAAGGAATGCCATATACAGTCACCTGATTACGGTATCCGGATAAACATGAGACTTTTATCTGTTGTGAGTGCAGTACTGTCACTACAGACTAAAAACAGCTGTTTTGTCTCCCTGTATATACAGTGTATTGCTGTACAATTGCATTAGCTGAACTTTGTATATCATTCGTCTGAATTAAATATGTTGCATGGCTATACAGGTTGGAAATGTTATTTTGGCACACAATTATTTTTGGGCTTCACGATAACCAAAAATGCTGCTGCTGCCTGGGAACACCAATAAAAAAATAAATAAAAAAAAGAAGAGCTCTTTAATATTTCGTTTGTTTCGCTCAGATCACGGGGCTAATTGGAGAGCGAACAAACTCTGACATTTTGCTGCAAAATATCACAAGACCAAATTACCTGAGCTCCTCTCCACATTCATTGCATTTCTTATTTCTTACTGTATGTCAACTGTTTAACTGGTTTCTGTCTGTTTAGTTTTCTCATAAGTAATTTAGGGGAAACCTCTGAGACAAAGTTGTCCTTAAGTGAAACTGAGAACTCCTTTAGATTGATTAAAGAGCAACAATAACCTTTTATTTTCTGGTGTCTATATTGTTAAGTATTCTCTGGAGTACCACGCAATTACATGTGTATGGCAATCATTTAGTCCCATAGTAATGCTATATA